GCCTCCTGCGGGGGCCCGGACCTGAGCCCGACCGCCCTCGGCTGCTGCATGCCCCCGCACCGGGGCCAAGGGAGGTGGCCAGGACCAGCCTCCAGTGCAAGTCGAAGAGTCACAGCCTTTCCCCCGGTCCCTGCAGGCTGGACAGACAGCACCCGTGCGTCTGCAGCTGCGGCCGAGGGGACCTCTCCTCCCAGAGCCAGCCCGGCTCGGCAGACACCCACAGCAGAGCCTGGAGGAAGGCAGCGGAGCCGTGAACACCAAGGTGTGCCGACGGTAGTGAGCCACAGACAGCAAAAATAAATAAGGAGGCAGGTGACAAAGTGCGCTTACGCCCTGTCCCGAAAACAGCCGCTCCCCTGCCGCTTTCTGCCACCGGCGAGCAAGAGAGGACCCAGCCAGCTCTCTGCACGCAACCCCTTCCCGAGCAGAAGCGGCAGGGCAAGGATTAACTGCGCCAGCTGAATGAGGACATTTGCATTAAGTTAATTAAAAAAAAAAAACAAAAACACCTCTACAAGTCCAGGACACGTTCCTCTCTTTCCCAGATCTGCCCCAGTGAGCGAGTGTGTCAGGGACACTTTGGCAAAGCAGATACTTGGGCAAGGGAAAACATCAGCTCCGTCGCTTCCTTCTCCGTCCCGTTATCCCGCCGTTCAGAGAAACCGTCTCCTTACAGCTCCCGTTCACAGCCCGCACGCCGGACAGTCTGATGCTGCTGTCGGGACAGTTCACAGCTTCACGGGTAGCAGGGCCGGTACAGGTCTTTCTTTCCTCCAGCTGTCCGTTGCCTGTGTTTCTTCTCCAGGTTCCCTTTCACCCCTCGGAACCAGAAGGGCTTCAAAATAACGGAGTCAGACAACAAAGCCTTGCTGCTGGTTTTTTCTTTTTCCCTGGTCCGCTGGCTAATTCACCCACCGATCTGACGCGATGCTTCCTTGTGCCTTCATCAAGAGCAAAGATGTTTCCAGTCCCTCTTCATCCTCTCAGAGCACCAAATCTACACCCATCGCCAAGCGCACAGCCGGCGGCTCTCGGCCGCCCTTACTTCACTTCCAGGATGGAGGGATTCGTCTCCATGATGGCCACGATGATCCTGTCAATGTAATCCTGCAGGCGGAAGTTGATCTCCTCTTGCTTCTGAATTGCTTCCATGAGCTGCAAGGGAGGGAGAAAGGGAATGAGTGGTCACCATGTGACCTGTGTGCCCTGGCTGCCAAGAAGGCCAATGGGATCCTGGGGTGCATTCAGAGGAGTGTGGCCAGCAGGTCGAGGGAGGTTCTCCTCCCCCTCTACTCTGCCCTAGTGAGGCCTCATCTGGAGTGCTGTGTCCAATTCTGGGCTCCCCAGTTCAAGAAAGATGAAGAGCTACTGGAGAGAGTCCAGCGGAGGGCTACGAGGATGGTGAGGGGACTGGAGCATCTCTCCTATGAGGAAAGGCTGAGGGACTGGGATTGTTC